ATTTTCTATTGCTACATACATGGCATGTGAAAACTGCACAAAGAATACGGAAGACTGAAGAAGAAGAATATTTCATAAACTGCCAAAAAATCCAAATAAATCTGCCTTGAACAAAGTGAAGCCAGGGTGCTCCTAAGAGGCAGAGATCATGACACTTTGTCTCACATACTTTGGACAAGTTGTCTGGAGATGCCAGCCTTGGGAAAAGTAGATGGTCAGCCAACGAGAGGCGCTCCTTCAAGGAGCTAGGTCGACACGGTGACTGCAACAACAGGCTTGAACATGGTGGACATGGGGAGGGTGGTGCGGAAGAGGGCAAGGTTCTGACTGGTTCGTTTTGGAGTTGATAGGCATCATACATAGCAAGCTTGATTCTGTATCCTAACGAATTGTCCATGGGGTTTCTGAGGCTGTAAATCTTCAAGGAAAGAACTGCCCACCTACCTCCCTCCGAGTGGCCAGTGAATTCCAACCACTGACCTTGTGGTTAGCAGCCCAGCACGTTAGGTTACACCAGAAGGGCTTTAGAAAATGCTTCTTCTTACTGAATGTCAATATTCTATGCTACAGCTTAAGCCTCTTGCCTTGTTTTCTTGTTAGGAATGAAAATCATCTGGATGTCTCCTCTGTGCAACAATGTGAGGAAATGTGAACATCAGTAAATTACCCCTCAATCATTTTCTTTTTCATGCTGCAAATATCAATTCCATTAATCTGTTACTAAACTAATCCTATTCCAAGCAAGGCAAAAGACAACTCATTGAGAAGTTTGCTGTTAATACTTGAATGCCCTGCAATTAAATCCAGTCTCATTTGGACTTGCTTTCTCCCTATTTAACTGAAAATCAAGAATCCTTTTATACTTCTCGTAACTGTGTTGGGGTTTTGGTAAATAAAAAAAAAGGGGGGGGAGCGAATGTTTTCAGGAGGGGCCAGTCATTGGAAAAAGACATCATTCTGGGAAAGGTAGAGGATCAGAGAAGGAAAGGAAGCCCCTCACTGTAATGACTGCAGCAATGGGCTTGGGCTTCAGCAGAACAGAGGTCTTGAGTTTACAGCAGGAGAGGGCAAGGTTTCTATGAGTCAGTAAACTTGATGGCACCTAACAACCATAATGCAGTAAGTTGAATATGTTTCTGTCATTAGAAAAGGTTTAGGACCTGAACTTCTTTACAAGGAGGCTATTAAAGTTTCCAGAGTTCTCACAATTAGGAATAGATGCTCTATATAGATTCCTTCTAGGAGGCTGGAATTCTGAAGCTCCGTCTGACATACTCTAGGCATGTGGCCAGGAAGGGCGGATCCTTGGAGAAGGACATCATGCTTGGAAGGGTGGACGGACAATGCAGGAGAGGAAGACTCAGGATGAGACGGATTGGCACAGTAACTAGGGTAATGGGTTAGGTGTGTTACAGTCAGTGAGGCTGGCTCAGGACAGGGCAGGATTCTCACCTGTTGTACATAGGGTTGCTATGAGTCGCGGGTAACTTGATGGCACATAATAACACCAACAACATATAGGTTCCTAAAGATAAACAGGTGGGAGATATAAAAGAAATTTCTAGAACAGCTGTAATAGCCACTTTCATAATCTACTAACAAAGAAATTTAAATAATTGTCAGTATTTTCTAATTTTTTAATTCTCTTGAAAATGCATTAATAGCCGGACCAACTACTTGAATTTTATTACAGCTCCATACTTCACTTACAGTCCAGAGCTCTGGTGGCCTAGTCCATACTGAACTGAATAGCCAACCCAAAGGGAGTGCCTCCCTGATAGTTCTAATTCACAAGCAGCTTCCTGGGAGAAAGACAGGCATCTCCTCCAATGTGCTTTACCTCCTTGGAAATCTAATACAGGGTCAGCTGAGTCGGTTCCTTCGCAGCAGGGCTGAGCTGCTTTACAGCATTTAAGTGCAGTACTCGATATGACCACAGGAGGGCGCCCAGGATTGCCCCACTGTATTAACCATAAATTGAACAGTAAAAAAACTAAACAACAATCTAACTTAGGAGAGGCTGAAGAGCATTATGCTAATGAACTAACTCAGTGAAGACAAATATTCTATCAGACCATTATTATAGAACGAGTATGAGGATCCAGGGGGAGGTAGAAGCAGAGGAGTGAGGTAGTTGGGGGGGGTAATAATAAGATTGCACATTTTCATGGGTGGAGGGGAGGGTGAAGGAAGTGGGAAAGGTCCTGTGTGAAAAGCAATCTGTTTTGTAAATAAGCCAGTATAATTTTTTAAAAATTTAAAAATGCAAAAAAACTCGAAAACAACTAATTATCACTCCCAGAAGGGGATCCCGGCACTTTTGTAGAATCTCACTGTTTCCCCTGATTTGAAATAAAGTGCTTTGGAGAAAAACAAAACAAAACAAAAACCAAAACAACGAACCCAAAAATAAAAAACAAAAACCTAAACAAAACAACCACAAAGCAAAACCATTCCTAAGACATACTAGTGTTGGTGGATGGGTTAGTTAGTATAGTCTCCTCTAGAAAGAGCCTCTAAGAATTTCAGTAAAACGTGTACTTTGGTTCTTGTAAAAACTCCAGTTTATTTCTATGCAAAAGGAATTGCATCACATTAAATAATAAGAAATCTCACCAAAACCCAACTGCCATCAGGTAATTTCAACTCATAATGACCTCCAACAGGTTGCCGAGGTTATAAATCTTTCGTGGAGGAGATGGACCATCCCTTCCCAATGGAGCAGCTGCTAGATTTGAACTGCTGACCTTCCAGTTAGCAGTACACATAACACGAGCTTTAAAATGGCACAAGAGAAGGTTCCTTTCATATGTACAGGTTTCTCTGACTTACGGATCTTCCTTTAACTTTTCTAAGCTGAATTTCCCCTCTATAAAAACAAACAAAGTTATAAAAATGTACTAAATATAGAACTACCTTTAAGAATAGGGAATATATCACTTGTGTTTTAGAGATGTTACAAAGATGAATTTAATAAAAGAGGAATCATCTTTTACATGTACCTTGCCTATATTACCAATAAATGGAACCTAAAAATGTTGGTTTTGATATGTAACTATGTGAAAACACACAACAGTTGACTTGGGGTCTTGGTATGAATATGCAATATAGATAATTATAAAGTTATCAGTGCTTGTAGCCTGAAAATAGTGGGTTAGGGTCCAAATTAGTGCACAGTAAATTTGAAAATTCAGATGTTTCTTTTAACTTGTGCCTTAGAGATGTTATGGGCTTAAAAAAAATTTTTTTTTATGGTAGCACAACTTTAATGAACTGCACATATGAACATTTCAAACTTTTGGGTTTTTTCACTGTGAGAATGTTAGTCAAGAAAAGTGAAAGAACTGTGTTGAGAGAGAAATGTGATGATAGTATTGAAAAAGCAAGAGGATGAGATAGTAAAAAGCTTCGTCAACATTCTCTCGTCTTGTATTTTTACTTGGAGTCATGTAAATACGGTCTGAAATTAACTGTAAAAAGAAAATTAATTTAATGATTTCAGAAAACATCAAACAGTAAAATACTCTTTTAACTTGTGGTCTGAGGGTGGAGAGAACCTCCAACAAAAAAATGTTAATATCCATCAGGATCAAAACAGAACTTCCTTAAGTTTATAATTTGTACTCAAAGAAACCAGAAGTGTCTACCAGTCGGGACCGTAGGTACACCATGGCAGGGCACAGAATCCACCACCGAAAGGCCTTGAAGTTCATACGGGATATCCCTAAACTACCAGGTGGAGTGCTCTGCAACCCCGAGCAAGCCTCAGCAATCCTCAACCCAGCCCATGTGTCGCGCGCGCGGCTACCACCTCCCTGGAGTGGGCATTATTTTTTACAGAAATTGTTGTAAAAATTTAAAAGACAAAAACAAAAACAAAAAAACCCCAAATAAAATTCCATTAAGCTGAATTTAATGTTGATTTTTCTGTTCAAACTCAAAATCCTTACTTCCACTTTTTAGACATGCTTACTTTTTTATTTACTGTGGTTACTGGTTAGCCTTCTTACTTTCAGTGAATATTGCTTTGTAGATAAGCTGTATTTTCTAGAAGAAAATGTTCTGTCTTTGTAGCCATTTAATAAATTAGGACAGCACCAGGAGGAGTTAAACATGTCTGAGAACAGGAAGGACAAGCCCTGGTAGATGGAGAAGCAGTCATGTCAATTTTCTAGGCTTTTCGGGTTACTGATAAGAAGTAGGCTACCCTAAAATCCAAAATTGGAAATATGTACCTGCCCACACACACTTCTATCAATTCTCATTATCTCACAACTGACACACTTAAACACTCCACTTCAACACCTATTGCAAAATAACACTTAAAACATTTTAATCTGGAAAGGGGAAGCCTAGAAAGGGATAGAGAAGAGGGCATAAAAGAGTAACACAAACCCCACTGTAACTAAGTTAATTCTGACTCTGGGCAACTCTGCATCAGGAGTCCAGTGCTCATCTCTGGGTTACCAGCATAAAATGCAGTGCACTATCCCAGCAGAGCGCCGTACATCAGATGGCAGAAAGGAAAAAGATGGGGTAATAGTCAAACTATGAAATCCTGCACAGGGCATCTCTTTTAAACTTATAGAAAAGAACTTAAAACAAAGACACAGAAAAACTACAGAACATTTGTTTTGAGACTCAAAAGCAGAAATCTGGTTTTGTAATTTTCATTTCTAGATTCAAACAACAGCAAAACCCTTGACACCAAGTTACAGCAGAAATGTGCTTCATAGGATTTTCAAGGCTGATTTTGTTTCCAAAATGTAGATCAAATTTACTTTCCTAGCTAGGACCCAAAGGTCTTCATGGCTTCATATTCAACTCTGCTGAAAATGGTCAGTATTTTCCCATGTTCATCTTTGGAACATATACAAATTACCAAAGTAAACCATCAGAAAGACTCATGCTATACAAAAGAGGTGGGGGACATTGACCATCAGTCCTGCAAATACAGACAGACTTCACCTACTCACTGACACTAAAGCTCTGGTGCTCACCGATGGTGTTGAACCTCTTCAGCTCACTCCGGCGGGAAGGATGCTTCTGTGTATTTGCAGCATTGTTTTGCTCTTCTTCAATGATGGGGGTCTTAGATGCAGGAGGTTTACTGGTTGGTGGGGTTTGCTTTCCTGCCCCAGACAAAGGGTTGAACCCTGGAGCAGTAACATCCACTGACTGGGACTTCTTCTTTAACCTAGAAATAAAGAATATCATATGCTGTGATTGGTGACTCAGACAGAGCACTTGTTCCAAATCCCAGAAGAGAGCAAGTGAGTTATGTCTCTCTCCATACTCTTCAGACAACTGACTTGGATTTGGTTACAAATAAGGTGTATTAGAAGTAGAGAGAGAAAGTATAGAACTTTTCTAGAGAAAGTATACAACTTCCCTATATTATCTGAAAGCAAGTCCTAAAAAGACTGAAATTTTTAGAAAAACACCACCTTAAGTGATGGAGTGTTCATCTATTGATCAGTTTCAATCTGACTTCTTTTAGGAAGCTGTCCATGGGGCCAACCTTGGTAACCTCCCATGAACCAGCAGAAGGGCAGACAGTTCATAACTAAATCTCAACAAGCTTCTACTGAACTCAGTTTACCAGAACACAAGTCAATAACATTTAGTGTATCAACTGGTAAAAGGTTCATTAATGAAAACAGTATTGCCTAAATATTAATTATTTTACTATCTCCTATATGGTTTCAGCTATAGTCACAGATCACCTGCATTTAAAAGCAACATAAAACTAGTCATTACCGAGTTGATTCCAATTGATGACAACCTTATGTTTCAGGTAGACCTGTGCTCAAGATGGTTTTCAGTGGCAGGGTATTTCAGAAGATTAGAAGGCTCTCATCCTAAGCATCTCTGAAGAGATTTGAACTATTAACCTTCTAGTTAGTAGTTCAATCTTCTACACCACTTAGGAAATTCTACAACCTGTATTATCTGCTTGATAGTCATTAAACTTTAATCACTTTGTCAAAATTGCCAATGTTAGCCAAGAAGAAGTTAAAATCCAATGTCCTATTACACATCACTAGAATGATTAGAACAGAAAACATACAGAATCCAAAGGAGCGTGTTAAGCAGCAATTAGGACTGCTGGCCTGCTGTTGGGATAGACACGTACATGTCTGAAAAATGTCTGGTCACAACTACTAAAGATCAAGTCATCAAGTCATGTATCTTTTGAACCAGCAGTTTTATTTTTAGAATATTTTCTATAAAAATCTAGATATGGAAGCTCTGGTGGCCTAGTGGCAGGAAGCTACATTGCAATCCCAGAGGAGTATGGTTCAAATCCACCAGATGCTCTGCTGGAGAAGGAGGGACAATCTCCTCCTGTACCAGTCAGATTCGATTTGATGGGACATACAAAAATAATAATAAAGATCTAGAAATGTTCACCAAAAAGCAAAGACTAATGTTCACAGGACTATTTGTAATACAAAAAAACTGGGGGCAGGTCAGACTTTTAACCCAAAAGGCCAAACCGAAAGGTTCACCAACAGTAGAATGGTAACTAAAATAGAAAGGGTAAAAATTACAAAATGGAATTTTATATAGAAAAGAAAATGAATGAACTTCTATGGCATGAGACAAATAATGTCAAATAAAAGAAGCCAGGCAGAGCCCAAGACACGCCACACTACTTTGTAGATATAAAGTTCAAAGACCTACAGAATTAAAAGAATGAAGAGCATTATTGAACTTAAGAGGATCATTGCCTTGGCCATGAAGAGACTTCTGGGATTCTGGTAATGTTTTATTTCCTGATCAGGATCCTGGGCACAAAGCTATATATACCTTACAGAAATTCACCGATTTATGGTTTGTCCATTTGTGTGTGTGTGTGTGTGTGTGTGTAATAGTTATACATCAATAAAAAGTTTCCATTAAAAAGAAACTCAATTCTTAACTGAATTAACTTACAATAGTGATTTCATATAGCTACTGAATGATTATGACACAAAATAAATTATTTGATGCCGACTTCTCAAGGGCTGAAAGTAGCATGGCTCTGACAGGGCCTTTTTTTTCTACCAAGGACATCTGTTCCATCCCCATCATCCCACCCTACATCTTCCAAACAGGACTATGAATTCATTATTTGATAGACTTGTTGTTGTTGTTATGTACTGTTGCTCTAGGCACCATGATACACTGTAAATTAAAAAAGCAAAAACACTTCCAATGAGGAAGCTTTCATTCTTTACTGCAGAGGCCAGTAGTAAGTAAACAAATCAATATGTAAAAAATGAGGTGGTGAGAAGTGCCATAAAGGAGAGTTAATGGAGTATGTTCACGCACGACGGACTGTGCACAGAAGAACCAGGCACATGTCTTTGTTCACTTGATGTTGGAGAGGAAACTCGGAAGACGGAAAGGAGATTATCTGGGAGAGCGGTATTTCAGCAAGTTAGGAACTTGGGTTGTTTGTTGTTTTGGTTTTTTTTTTTTGCTTTTTTTTGTTGTTGTTACAGAACAAGGAGCCCATTACTGGAGCAGAGAAAGGGGGAGAGAAAAACAGGGATGAGAAAAGTGAGAAATGGGGTAAGAAAGAGAGAGGGAAGAATGCTGAGGGGATAGAAAAACTCTGTGGTCATTAAAGAATGAGTTTGAGAGGGGTTGAGTATGGGAATCACCACGGAATCATTCTGCTTTGTTGAACTTAGGTTGAAGAATGTCTCTTCAAGTTTAGCAAACTGAATACAATGACCTTCAAGAAGTAGCAACTAACAGCTTGTGAGCCGCAGCCTCAGGCAAACAGGAATTTACTATGTACTGGATTGTGGACTTGTTACTAATGCCTGGGTCTTCTCAACACCACCATTGTAGCCTTAAGTTTGAGGCCTGTGGACTAGAAGCAAATACTACAGAACTGCAATACATTACAGGAAAGCATTGAGATTAATAAAAAGAACGAGTTAGGAGTGAAGTGGTGGTTCTCTCAGGCAATAAGAGCTCATTTGTTGCAATGAGACTTTCCACAGAGGCAAACTTAGAACCCACCTAGATTTAGAAAGCAATTAGAATTATTACGTTGAATATTAAAACGCCATAAAATTACCAATATTTGACACTTTGAGCTACATAACCACCAAATTTCTATAGTTCATTCTGCCAGTTTTGTTTAGAAATCAATTTGAATACAAGGCAACCTTTGCCAGTGTTGGCTGGAGGCTAACTTGAGGACGTAGGGGTATAAAGGAAAGGTGCTGAATTGTCCAGGAAGACAGCCACCATCTCTAAACTTCTTCCAAAACGCAAATTCAAACTCACTGCTGTTGACCAGAACTAGCTCATAACTGATCCTCCACTGGGTTTCCAAGGCTGTAAAAGGACATTGTCTGTCTTTCTCCCCAAGAGTTACCCATGGATTTGAACCACTAGAGAGGCACCACCTTTGTACCAGCCGTTCAACTCTCTATAGATAAAGTCAACAGAACTCTCTCGCTATCTCTTAGTAACTATTACTGTCAAGATGTGGATCTGAAAAATCGTACCTACTATTCACAAAGCAGATTAATTTATCAGCAGACATTGTTTGACATATTACGCTGGCCTCTTTGAGAATGGAGGTCTTTTGCTACATTAAATTTCTATGTTGTAGAACATCAGGATGACAGCTTATCGTTGATAAAGTGCTATAGACCATAAACTATGCTACAGACCATAAACAAAGCTAGAGACTATAAACTATGCTATAGACTCCAACATTTCAAAGTGTCTAAGCGTTCCATAAACCCTTCTCACAGCTTCTGTGGAACAAGTAGAAGGCATTGCTCTGGGATCCAAAAGGCCCAAAGCAAACAGAACAGCAGTCAGGGATCATCTTCCCACCCCACCCCACCCCACCCCCTTCCTCCAAACACTCTTTCTAACTAGACCTTGAGGGGAAGCATGCTTTCCTTGTCACTGGAGTTTGGAACACTCGCTAGTACATTTGCTAGTTTGCCTAAGAAAAACTTCCATTTGTGCATTCTTAGAAAGCAGAACTGTGTGGGTAATTGAATTACTCCTCAAAGAGTCTAAAAATGACTACTGTGGTTGACAAGGAAACCTGCTAAATGCTACCTCCAATATCCAAATTTCATGAAAGGGGAAGTCTTTCTCAATTGTTAACAATACTCTTAATTAAATGTGTTAAACAAATGTAAATATAGCATAATGGAATAAGTAGGTGTGCATGAGATAAAATACCCATTGATAATAAATGAAGCACTACAACTAGAGACAAAAATACTCTCTTAGTAGATGCCAACATAATTTTTGGTTAATGTGCTTTGCATTTCCAACGGGAAATGAATATTGCTATCTTGGAGAGCTGGAAATGAGTGAAAGTAATCATTTCTTTCAGGATGGGATGGTTCCCATTAGCAGACTGGCTGGTGTGTCATAATCCTGGCCTTTTCTTGTTCTTCCCCTTCTGAGTAAATAAATATTTCTACTCCTCTCCGGAACATGATTCCACATCTTGACTCAGCATAACAATATCAGAGACTTATGAGGCTCAGCTTTCTGATCTTATAAAACAGGATAAGACATTCAATGAGTGAGTCTTGGGATTAAGTGAATATCCCACATGAAAGTACCGAGTTGAGTATAAACTCAAATTCATGTTCACTGTCAAAAGAATTGGTTCTGACTCATGATGTCTTTCCACTAGGTTTCCCAGGCTGTAATACGTGAAGAGAAGACTACTTATCTTTCTCCTGCAGAACCACCAGTGGATTCGAACCACGGGAGACTCACATCATTCAGGCTTGCAGTACAACTCTCAGCTGACAATGCCAATGTAAGTTCCAATATCCTTATAAGAGGATGTAAGGAAATTATAATGTTCTTCCTAAATATTAGTGGAACTGGGAAATGATACTATCTTCTCAAAATTTTACCCACTTCAGACAGAGAGTGAAACAGTAGGGCTGGAATACATTTTGTTGGAAGTGTCATGCACTCTGGTGTGTGAGTTCTGGGAAAAACGTGAAGAAGAGCAGAAAGACACAACCAATAGGATCTTCTATGGAGTATGCAATGTGACAGCTGTTCTGTGACGCTGTTGTTGTTGACTGCCTTCAAGTGAAGCATGACCCACAGCGACCTTATGCCCAAAAGACCTGAAGCCCCTCTACAACTATCGACATTTACAAAGTACATAGAGTTTCTGGAGGCATGTTATTTAGGAAG